ATATATATAAATAAAATGGGAAAGCTTGGGAAAATTCAGAAGTAAAGATAAACTTATTTTGCCCAGCTCAGATTTTCTGTAAGACTGAATATGATATAACAGACACCCTTGTTAGAAAAGACAAAGTTATTAAATTTAGCTTTCTCCATCTTACAGTAATTCCATCCATCCACCCATCTTTTGCATTCAATTGCAATATTAAACACGTACCGTAAATTCATACATATTTTTATGTATGTTTTCCCCAATATGCATACTTTTGTGTGCACTTTTCCTAATATTATGTACACTTATGTATTTTAATCTGATTTATATAAATGGGATTTTTATTTTATTTTCACAAAATATATACATTGATGTGACCTTTCCCAATATGTCTGTATTTAACTAGAAAACTACATCTTGAAATACATCAAATTGCAAATATCAAAATATGGCATATTGATTCAGAAAGCACAAAAATATGACAGGGAGACAAAAGAAGCAAAATGCTAAAGAAAGTTATGCTACTCATAACATTTCCAGCTCCTTTAAAACTAGTGTTTGCCTCTAGGCAAAGGAGATCTTGAAATGTAGCTTAGCTGAGTCCTACATATATTATTCAAGCCAGCGGTGAAATAAACCTTGTTGAAAATGGACTTAGTCTGGACTGAGACCATATTTAAAAATGTGAAAAAGAAAAAATTATTGGAGGGAAGCAATACAACAGACGTGATATGTCTCAAGCCATTAGGTCTCAGCAGATGCTAACTCTCTTAGACTTGGAGACCAGAAAGGCTGAAATTGATAATGAGAGTGATGGATGAAGAAATAGCCTATGTACTACTCATTTTATAAATGTTTAAAACCTTTTTTTTAGAGGAAAGTACATCAATGTAGCACATATTTTCACTGGATTTCTTTAAGAGTCAACCTCTGTAGCTACTGCAGTGAGTTTTGTTATGTGGTATCAAACTCTTATATCAATCTCTTATTGATCTGAGTGCAGTGTTCTCTTATATAGTAAATGTTTAATGGCGCTGCATTGCAGGAAGAGTCTTCTCTCTCCCCATGCCTGAAAGTTTTATGTTTCTTTGTTTTGGGAACATTCTGAGTAATATAACCTTTCTGTTTAATATGGCACCTCACTCCATTTTTTTTATACCTGATGTGCAATAGAAGACAAATAATTACATTTATACATGTGAATACAGTGACCCTGTAAAAATCATGTTGTTCATATTCCAACAGGAAGGGGGTGTTCTTCAGATTATTGTGGCTAGCAAATAGCATATTCTGATTAAAGGAAAATACTGAGGTTTAACACTGCTTGCTAATGAAAGTGAGAAACTATTTATTTATCTCATACTCTTACAGTTTAATTTTACAATATGCTTTAATAAAGTACCCATTTCAAAAAGTGAAACCACATTGTGCATTACCAAAAATAATGCTGGGCCAAAATCTGCTTTGTATGTTCTTTCCTTGGGAAAGTCATAGAGGTAGTCCTTGTTTAGCAACTGCCTTATTTAGTGACCATCTGCAGTTACAAGAGTGATGAAAAAGTAACTTTATGACAGATCCTTGCATTTACAATCTTCGCAGGTCTGTAAAGCAAAAGAAAGCTGAAGTAAGATCATAAGCACAGTTGCAGTTTTGCGTAGCAACCACTTCGCTTAACAACCAAGTTGCTGGTCCCAGTTTCGGTCGCTAAATGAGGACTACCTGTATTCAGATTTTTTTTCACCTTATACATTTGAGAGTATAATTTAATTTGAAAAGCAACTTCTGGGTGGGAAGGCAGTTTGAGTTTTTGGGATACAGCAAGTTTGTTCATTCAGTTAGTAATTGTTTCTCTCTCAAGTTTAAGTCAAATTCCTAACCTCTCTAGATGTTTGGGTTGAACTCCTGTATTCCCTTTTTAGGTTTGAGGACTTTGTGCATCGCATACACAGACCTATCAGAAAACTCTTACCAGGAATGGCTGAACATATATAATGAAGCCAGCACGAACCTGAAAGACAGAACTCAAAAACTGGAAGAGTGTTATGAGATAATTGAGAAGGTAAATAAACATGATTTTGTTTCTTTCCAATTCTTTCCAATGTATTCCCTGGCTCTAAGAGATATATGCACAATTACGTCTGGGAGGGAAAGTCTTAAAAATGGGGTACTACTCCAATCCAAGTTTTACATAGTTACAGTTATTATATTTGCTTTGAAGCATTATTGATAGGAGGTCCTGGTGTTTGGTGAGGAGGAATGTTAATCTGATAAAGACTTGTGAAGATAGGCAGGTAAAACCTCAGCTGAGATCTGCTGCTAAAGGAGAATTTCCAGAATGCTGTTTGTCACTTAAATCTAGGAGCTACTTGAGTATTATGCATTTATTCAGTCAGTTGGTATTCACTGTGTACAGGTGAATGGAGTTGGACTTTGCTTCTACCATATAAGCCTTGCCTTGGGTGGCCCTGGTCCCCGGCTGCTGCTACTCAGTGCTGGGTTAATCTATAGTAAGCCCTGCCTCATTCATGATTTAATCATATATTACTGCGGGGGGGGGGGGGGGGG